TTCATCTTCAACAAGAAGCTTTTTCTGACCTTCTTAAATCTAGGGCCTTCCCTCTTTTGGGTTTCTCCAATTTATTTCATATATGTATCTCATTTGTACAAAGTTATTTTTCAGGTTGTCTCCCCAATTAGACTGTAAGCTCCTTGACAGCAACTACTGCCTTAGTCTTTCTTTGTATCCCCAAGGCTTAGCATAGTGTCTGGCAAATAAGAGGTACTTAATAAATGCTTGTTGACTGACTGATTGGCTACTAGTACCAATACTAGTTTAAGATGTCCAACAAATAGTTGGAGATGCAAGACTGGAGATCATAAGAGAGGTTAGGGCTGCATAAAAACGATAATTGAATCCATGGAAACTGATTAGATCAGCAGATGAAATAGTATAGATGCATAAGAGAAGAAGGCCCAGGACAGAGCCTTGGGGGATAACCATAATTAATAGGCATGAACTGATGGAAGAGTCATCAGTTTCAAAGGAAACTGAAAAGGAGTGATCAGACAGGTGGGATGAGAACCAGGGGGGAGCAGTGTCATGAAAGCCTAGAGAGAAGACAGTATTGAGGAGGAGAGGGTGATCGACAGTGTCAAAGGCCACTTTGAGAGGTCACAAAGGATGAGGATTAAGAAAAGCCTAGTAGATTTGGCAATTAAGAGACATCATTATTAACTTTGGAGAGAATAATTTCAGTTGATTGATGAGGTCAAAAGACATAATGCACGTAGAAAATAACTATGGAGGTAGACTACTAGTAATTGAAGGAATCAAGATAGGCTCTTAATAGAAGAAGTAGAACCTGAGCTAATCCTTGAAGGAAGCCAGGGATTCCATTAGATGAAAATCAGAATGGAATGTATTCCAGTCATGGAAGATGGCTTATACAAAGACTGGGAGACCACTTATAGAATGTCATATATAAAGAAGAACAAGTAGGTCAATGACTTGATTATAGAGCGTGTTAATGAGAGTCGTGTGCCATAAGCCTGGAAAAATAGGCTGAAACCAAATTGTGAAAGACTCTACACACCAAACAGAGAACTTTGCATTTGATCCTAGAGGCAAGAAGGAGTCAATGAAGCTTCTTGAGCAGGGGAGTAACAGAATAAGACTAGATCTATGTTTTAAGAGCATTAACTTTGGCTCATGTGGATAGATTATAAATGGAAGATGATAGATGGAGTTAGATCAATAGATAGATAGATAGATAGATAACCAGATAGGTAGATAGAGCATTTATTAAGCATTTATTTTATGCCAGGCACTGTGCTAAGTGCTGAGGATACAAATACAAGCAAACAAGGTAGCCCTTGTCCTCTAGGAACTTACATTCTAATGAAGGAAGAAAACACATAAAGGGAAGGTAGTAAGGAGGAAGAGTAAGATGTTACATGAACTGCTGTGGGGGTAGTTGGGAAGAGGCATGGAGGCCAGGTTCTGGGCAAGATGAGGCAAAAGCTAACCTAGAAAAGCCCAGCATCCCAGGGGTACAGTTCAAGGTTCTAATGGGAAGGGCCTAAGGATAATAGCTGGATTACAAGAAACATGACATGAAGGTGTGGAGATGGCTGGAAAGTGGTGTGGAGGCCTACTTTCAGGCAAGATGAGATTAAAATTCACCTATCTTAGCCCATTATCTGTAATTAGGAGGTTTTTGCAATAGTGTTATTTATGTGAATGGAGAAGTGTATTAAGGAGGTAGCACCAACAACACTTGACAACAAATTAGACATGAAGGAGATGGAAAAGTTGAGTGTAGTTATGCAGTTGTGAACTAGGTAATTGGAAGAATGGTGGTGCTCTCAACAGATATAGGGGGAAAAAAGGAAGAAGGAACAACTGCAGGGCAAGATAATGGGTTTTCTAGACCTGCTGAACTTGAGAGACTCATGGAGCATTTAGCTGAACGTGTTGAATAGGCCACTGGTGATTTGGGAATGGAGTTCAAGAGAGAGTCTGGGACTGAATATATAATTCTGGCAGTTGCTTATATAGTTGAACTCATGCAAACTGATGAAATCAATAAAAGACAGAATCTAGCAAAGGAAAAGAAGAAGGCCCAAGGCAGAGCCTATACTCATGCATAGCAGTGGAAGGAACATGAAGGAAGGAACATGAAGAAAGGTCAGTCAGATGGGATGAGAGCCAAAATAAAGCAAAGTCATGACAACTCAGGGAGTAGAGAGTGATGAGGAAAAGAGAATGGTCAACAGTGTCAAATATTGCAGATTTACAAAAAGGAAAGATGAAGATTGATGAAAGGCAATCAGATTTGGCAAATAAGAGGTTGTTGGTAACATCAATACTATGTGACTGTGACTCTTGGAAAATCACAATCTCTGAGGAATCCAAGTAGTAAAAGGACTCAAAATCAATGAAGTGATAAATGGCAGATATGGGCTAAGGTGTGTTTCCAGTGATTATCTTTGCTCAAGAAATGGTTTAAGGGTTATCACTGAAAAAATCTGTAACAAGAAAAGGAAATAGGCCATTCAAGGGGTAAAAACAGCTGGGAACTAACTGAAAACCATGAAATGAAAGAAGATCTTGCCAAAGACCCACAGCGCAATTGGGTAGGTCCTTTGTGGAAGATCTAAGGAAAGAATACAGACAAGAATCATACAGGAGAAGCATGGGGTATGCAGGAGAAATGACCACATCAATGAAATCACAGATTCAATCAATCAATAGGCATTTATTAAACTCTGAAATACAAAGGCAAAAATGAAATCGTCCCCATCCTCAAATACAAGAATATATACAAAATAAATATAAGGTAAATTATTTTGTGGGGAGAATACTAACAGATGGGGGGGGGTGTTCATTTAAGGCCTCATCTAAAGGAAAGATTCTTAACCTCTGTGACCTTGTTTTTAAGAAATACTTTGTATATTTCAATACAATTCATAAAATTTTGTAATCTCAAGTATTTTATTTTATGAATTTAAAAACATTCTGAGAATAAGTCCATAGGCTTAACCAAAGGGGTCAGTGATACAAAAGAGGTTAAGAATCCCTGCTCTAGAAGATGTGGCTTGAACAGAGTTTTGTTTTTGTTTTTGTTTTTGGGAATTGGGGTTAAGTGACTTGCCCAAGGTCACACAGCTAGTAAGTATCAAGTGTTTGGTCTGAGGCTGGATTTGAACTCAGGTCCTCCTGACTTCAGAGCCAGTGCTGTATCCACTGCACCACCTAGCTGCCCCCTTGAGCAGAGTTTTGAAGGAAATAAGAAATTCTATGAGGCAGAAATGAGATGAGAGTGTGTATGGGTGATAGCACAAAGGTGTGGAGAGGAAACACGGAGTTGTCATGTGTGAAGAATAGCAAGAAGACCAGTTTAGCTGCCCCATAACATGTCGGAAAGAAAGTAATACGTATAGCCCCTCCAAATCTGGGTTGTTCCCCCAATAAAAACCCTATGGTTTTCAACCCAGTTGGATCCCCTGCAGAATCCTTAAACTAAATCCAAGATACTTTGTGAGAACATAGTCCTTACACTATAACTCACAAGGTCCCAAATGTTTACTTTAACAATAAGCCAGAATTCACAATTATCTGAGCCAAAGAAAGGCATTTTTATTGAGGCAGCAACATCAGACCAGTAACTACAAGTCTCTACCTTAATTATCTCAAATTCTAATGAGAGAAGAGAACATGTAAAGAAAAACTAAAAAGATTGAAGAGTGCTCCTCTATGGGATGGTCTGGAAATAGCCTCATAGGACTGGTTTTAGGTGAGATTAGCTGAAAGTTGAACTATCAGAGACCGGTGTCCCAGGAGATCCTAAGACTTGCTGTGAGGATCTATGGATGTGGTATCTGCAGATATTATTCATAAACTTTAAAGGCCTTAGTAGATGTCTTAATGAATCAGTATGGCCAAAACAATTAATTACTTGCTTAGTCAACTCTGGTTTTTGCCCTTAGCTAGGATGTAAATCAAAGGACAGATATAGAGTCCTTTACTGGGCCCATACCTGAAGCCTTTCTTGCATGGGTAGGACTTTTCAGAACTTTTCTCTTTTTAAAAAACATATTAAAATTTTTTTTTGTTATGAACTTAACAAACACCATCAAATGTGAACATTGCCATATATAAAGAATAAAAACATGAAACCACAAATCTCCTTTATGAATAGCTTGTTTTTTTTTTTTTTTAGGCATTTAGGCATTTAACAACATTTAACAAATTCACCAGGTTAGTTCTAAAGCTGTCTCATTTGCAAATGTTTTCTTCTCAACCTATTTTTTCTCTCCTGGGCTTACTTGTAAATCTTCATTGATGCAGAATTTGTAGGCATAGACTTCACAAAACAAAAGTCTCTCCTGTGCGGTAGAATTAGGCACGAGCCTATAGTGAGATTTTACTGAAGTTGGAAAATTAAAGGAGACAATAATGATCTTCCTCATCTTAGACCCCACAAATCACTTTGTTGGCACCATTGTTAGGTACTTAGCATACATCGTGTTCTATTCTAGTCATTTTTATTTATGTTGTGTAGATTGTTAAGCCCTAGGAACCCAAAATGGTATTTTACCTAAACTATCTAAATCTAAACCTAAATTTAGCACAGTGCCCTGTGCCCTGGGCTGAGTTGGAACATATGTATGATCAAAGTGGAATACTCCAATTTGACGTGTGAATGTCAATAAATAAATAAATAAGCCTAATATGTTTGCAGTAAATTTAATTTTATAAATCTTCCAAGACTGAACTGTGATTTCAAAAGCAATTAATACAAATGGGATGAAACCTAGATTTTGTTCTCCACTAACTATTCTACAGATATTTATTGCCATTTTGAATGTAGGGGGCTTTTGATAATCTAAAAATGCTTAGGAGTGTCCATTTCCTCCCCGACGGAGTTCGCATTTCCAATAAGCCACTTACATTGGCTACATACCTCGTCAGAGTCCTCAGATAAAACTGAAGTAGGCATATTTGCCCTTAGCATCTTTCCTTTCATCATTTCTGTTTTCTTATATTTATACCCATTTTACCAGGTCATGGCTTCACATCCCTCCTCCTAAGATCCCAATGGATCTTCCCAGGACACCCTACAGGTATGTACAACATGGTCACAAGTCCTTGACCTTTCTCTTCACATTACCCACTTCTCCAAACCCCTAAATAAACCTACCCTGGCCTTTGTCTTTTTACCTGAAGGAGGGAAGAAAGAAAGAGAAACATTTATTAAAGACCTACTATGTATCAGGTACTTTGTTAAGCATTCTTCCAATACTATCTCATTTCGTCCTCACAGCAACCCTAGTAGATGCTATGATTATCCCCACTGGTGAGGAAGCTAGGCAACAGAGGCTAAGTGACTTGCCATGGGTCACTCAGCTATTAAGTGTCTGAACCCAGATTTGAACTTAGGTCTTCCTGACTCCAGGCCCAGTACTCTATCCACTTTACCATCTAGCTGCTATATATGTGTATGTGTGTGTGTATAGTTTTTTGGGGGTTGGGAATGGTTACAACATTGGCCAGGAAGCTGCTTTAGGGCCCCTGAATAATTTAATGCATTAATCTCCTTAAAATAAAACTTTATTTAAAAATTTTTTTTTGATGCCTTTTGGGCTTTGTTGCCTTTCTTTTCAATTTTAAAACTTATTTTTGTGGTTTTTATATTGCCTTCATTTGCTAAATATTCCCCATCATCTGTTTTAACAATTAAAAATGAAAGAAAAAATTATTTCAGCAAAAGCAACCAACATATTAAGTGTATTTGCAATAATACACAACCAGAGTCCTCTACCTTTCCAATTAAGGGAGGAAAGTATGGATACTCTTAAGAGTACTTTTTAAGGGTAACTCAAACAACAGGAACCACAGCAAGCCAATGAGAAAGCCTAGGGCATAGGTTCCCAAAGTGGGTGATACTGCCCCTAGGGGGTGCTGGCACAATCCCACAATTGGAGGTGTCGAATAAAAATAAGTGAGGGAGTGGAGACATAAGGAAAGAAGAGAAGAGAAGAAAATTTTGAAAAACCTTTTGTACATGTTTCATCTATTGTGTAACAAAGTTTAAGTCATAGTGATTACATCATTTTCCAAACAAACACATAAAATGCAAGTTATAGCCTATCAACAGTCAAGTCTGCCAATAGGTCTTAACAAGCAAGTGTTGTCAGGAAGTCCAACATGCATGGGCAGGAATATGTGCGTATAATGACTTGTTTACAATATGATACAATATGGTTACATGATGCAATATTGCATCATCAAAATTTCAATGCAGGAAAAACCCCACAAATTTACAATCAATTATTAAATTTAAGATGAGTATTTTTTAAAAAAAACTTTTTATTTATTATTTAAATGACACAGATTTCCCAAAAAACCATTAAAGGGTTTAAAGATAGTAGATTGCCAGGGGGATGCTGAGTAATTTTTTTTTAAAGGGGGCAGTAGGCCAAATAAGTTTGGGAACCTCTGGGCTAGGCATTGGGCAGGTTTTCCAGCAACCCTCAAATTACACTGTATATAGGTAGCTACCCACTCTGTCTATGTATGGGGCCCTCCCTGGGACTCATATCAAAGCTGTTGTTGTAGTTGTTCAGTCATTTTTCAATCTCTGACTCTTTGTGACCCCATTTGGGGTCTTCTTGGCAAAGATACTGGAGTGGTTTGCCATTTCCTTTTCCAGCTAATTTTTCCAGATGAGGAAACTGAGGCAAACAGGGTTAAGTGACTTGCCCAGGGTTATGCAGCTTGTAAGTGTCTGAGGCCAAATCTGAACTCAAGAAGATGAGTCTTCAAAAAAAGAGCCTAGACATCATCTTTCAAGAAATTATCAAGGAAAACTGTCCTGATATTTTAGAACCAGAAAGCAAAATAGAAATTCAAAGAATCTACCAATCTCCTCCTGAAAGAGATTCCCAAAGGAAAACTCCTAGGAATATTGTAGCCAAATTCCAGAGTTCCCAGGTCAAGGAGAAAATTTACAAGCAGCCAGAAAGAAACAATTCAAGTATTGTGGAAACATAATCAGGATACCACAAGATTTAGCTGCTTCTACATTAAGACACCACAGGGCATGGAATATAATACTCAAGAGAGCAAAGGAGATAGGATTACAACCAAGAGTCACCTACCCAGAAAAACTGAGTATAATCCTGCAGGGGAAAAAATGGTCATTCAGTGAGATAGAGGACTTTCAAGCATTCTTGATGAAAAGACCAGAGTTGAATAGAAAATTTGATTTTCAAATACAAGACTCAAGTGGAACATGAAGAGGTAAACAGGAAAGAGAAAATCATGAGACTTATTAAGTTTGAACTGTTTACATTCCTGCATGGAAAGATGATATTTGTAACTCATGAGACCTTTATCAGTATTAAGGAAGTTGGAGGGGAAAAAATTATATGTACGTATATATAGATACGATAGATAGATAGAGGGCACGGGGTGAGTTGAAAATGAAGGGGTCATATCTGGAGAATAAAATTAAGGGGTGAGACAGGAATATACTAGGAGAAAGAGAAGGAGAAAGGGAGAGGTAGAATGGGGTAAATTATCCCACAAAAAATAAACCAGAAAAAAAAAGGCTCTTACAGTGGAGGGGAAATGGGGGAAGGTGAGAGGGAATGAATGAATCTTATTCTCATAGGATTTGATTAAGGAGGGAATAACAAACACACTCAGTTGGATATGGAAATCTGTCTTACCCTACAGGAAAATAGGGGGGGAAGGGGACAAAAGAGTAGGGGGATGATAGAGAGGAGGGCAGATTGGGAAAGGGGGTAATCAGAAGCAAATACTTCTGAGGAGGGACAGGGTCAAAAGAAAGAATAGAATAAATAAGTGGGCAGAATAGGATTAAGGGAAATAGAGTTAGTTTTTCACAGCATGTCTACTATGGAAGTGTTTTGCATAACTGCACATGTATAACCTATATTGAGTGGCTTGCCTTTTCAATGAGGGTGGGTGGGGAGGAAGGAAGGGAGAAAATTTGCAACCCAAAGTTTTAAAAACACATATTTAAAAAAAATGTTTTCACATGCAACTGGGAAATAAGAAATATAGGAAATGGGGTACAGAAATCCATCCTGCCCTGCAGGAAAATTGAAGGGGAAGGGGATAAGAGAAGGGGGAGAGAGATAGAAGGGAAGGCAGACTAGGGGAAGGGGTATTTAGAATGCATGCCATCTTGGGGTGGGGGGAGGGGGGAGATGGGGTGAAAATTTGGAACTCAAAATCTTGTGAAAGCAAATGTTGAAAACAAAAAAAAAAATAAAAATTACCATAAAAAAATTTAAAAAAAAAAAAGATGAGTCTTCCTGACTTCAAGCTTGGCACTCTATCCACTGCACCACCTAGCTGCCCATCAAAGCTGTTAACCTTGACTGAATTTAATCTATCCCATCGTCTTTCCTGGGGTGGGTGGAATAGGCGGTCATAATGACATATAGTAACACATAATGACCCCTCCAATATCCTCATAGACTCTAACATAAGATAAATGATCAGTATGCCTTTGTGCAGGAACTCAAAGCATGAGCATTATTTTGATGTGCCAATAAAATTAGTTCAGGCACTTCTGAGCAGGAAGTGGTTTCAGAGCCCTGGTGGGGGTGGGGAGGATTGGAGGGGAGGTGGCTACATTGCCATTCATCCCTAGAGTAAGATCATTGGTGACTTAAAACAAGGTTAGAGACGTTTTTCCAAGACTAGATTCAATTAAATGAATTTTTGATTTTTTATCTTTAGATGAAAAGAAGCCTAGGGTCTGGACAGCAGAAGCTGTTGTCTTTCCCAACGAGATCCTCTTGCTTAGGTGGTGCAGAGAAATGAAGAACGCAGCCCACTCTATTAATTTTGCTTGTGATCAGCACTTGAAAAGTTCTGTGAAAAGACTGATGTGAGATGGACAGTTTCTCCCCACTTCAGTGAAGGAAAAGGCCACACCACAGTTTCTAGCTATGGAACTTTTCTCGTCTGGAGAATTACCCATCCTGTTTTGCTGTAACTGAGCTGCTGGTCTGTGGCTAGCACGCAGCACGCAGCAGACCGGCTGGCTTCCTTCCCACAGAACTTCATCTAAAGCCCACAGATGAGTAATGTCACTGCACCTTCAGGAAGGACCTTATTTTGGGCTGTTAGGACTTCCCTGAGTGAATGGCAACTCTTCTTTTCTTTCTCAGAACAAGAAATTGCGGCTACAAGACCCACCAAACCAGTGGGAGAACTTCAAGACTGATTTTGGAAACAGATTAAAGCCACAGGACATTTTGAACGGAGATTATTTTTTTAAAAAATGAATTCAAGGAAATTTAGTTTCTTAGTGCTGCTTATATTTACAGTGACAGTGTGCTTCTTTTATATCAACAGTGTGTTCATACAAACAAACCAGAGGATTCTAAAAGTCTCAAACTCTTCAGCCCTTGCTGAAGTTTGTGATTCAGTTATCAGAGGACAGATGATTTCTATTCAAGAGACTGTCTTGAACCCGTCATTTGAAAATCATTCTTGCCAAGACTACTTGCTTCAAAACCACTACATAACAGCTCCCCTGTCGAAAGAAGAAGCCCAGTTTCCTTTGGCCTATGTAATGGTCATACATAAGGATTTTGAAACCTTTGAGAGGCTCTTCAGGGCAGTTTATATGCCCCAAAATGTTTACTGTGTTCATATGGATGAAAAGGCAACAATTCCTTTTAAAGATGCAGTGAAGTGGTTGGTGGGCTGCTTCCCCAATGCTTTCCTTGCCTCCAAGATGGAGTCAGTTGTCTATGCTGGAATATCCAGACTCCAGGCTGACCTGAACTGCATAAAAGATCTTGTAGCCTCTGAGGTTCAGTGGAAGTACATTATTAACACTTGTGGGCAAGATTTCCCTCTGAAAACCAATAAGGAAATAATTCATCATTTGAAAGAATTTAAAGGGAAAAATATCACTCCAGGGGTGCTGCCTCCTTCTCATGTTGTTCGAAGGACCAAATATATCTATATGGAGCAGAGATATATTTTATTTTCCTTCATGCTGTGGACTTTGAGAAAGAAAACTCTTCCTCCCCACAATCTAACCATTTACTTTGGCTCGGCTTACGTTGCCCTCACAAGGGAATTTGCGAACTTTGTTATCCAAGACCAAAGGGCCATTGATTTACTGAAGTGGTCTAAAGACACCTACAGTCCTGATGAGCATTTCTGGGTAACTCTCAATAGGATTCCAGGTTTGGTTGACTTTTATTTTTTCTTTTAGCCTATTATTAGGTTCAGTGGACATTGTAGAAAAGCAATTACATAATTTTAACTATTGTACGAAGGTACACTGAATGCTCATAAAATGTGCCTATGAAATTTTAATTACTTTATATGTCACAAATCCCTGATGGCATGTGCAATCATTTTTAAAATAAGCAAGTTAAATGTTGCATAGAGGGTCAGTACCACTGTTATATACTGGTCATATGGGAGACAGAGAATTTGTTTGCAGCTTTGTGGACGATGGATTTACAGTTGGAATAAGTCAGTTGAAATGGAGATAAATTATTGTTAGATCAAGAAATCAATCAATAAGCATTGATTAAGAATTGATTAAGTGCCATGTACTATGCTGGGCACTGGGGATACAAATATAAATGAATGAAATAATCTCTGCTCACAAGGAGTCTACTTTATAAAAGGAGCAGAAATGAATAAGGAATAGGTAAACTAGAAGACACAAAAAGTTTTTTTAATTATTTTTTCAAATGCAGTTTTACCTCTTTATCATCACCACCCCCATTGAAAGAGAAAGAAAAAAACAAAACCCCTGTTATGAACATGTATAGTCAAGCAAAATAAATTCCTGAATTGGCCATGTCCAAAAAAATTATGTCTCCTTCTACACTTATTCCATCACTTACGGAGTCCATCACTTATCAGGAGTAGGTAGCATGTTTCATTGTAAGTCCTCTGGAATCACAATTGATCACCCAATAAGGTTATTTGAAAAAGAATGGGGAAGCAAAGATAAAAGGAGTAGGAGAAAGATTGAGGACATGTAGTCAGTAATGTAAATTTGGTTATATAAGATCCAAGTACAATTATACCTTCTACATTGTGACTTTTTCCATCATGGTTTCAATATGTTACATGTCAGCATAAGAAACTAAATAGGAATTTTTGGGGAGTTTTGTGGAGACCACAGACAACACATGAAGGCCAGCAGACAACACGGGAAAAAGTTTAGAAACTCAGAAATGCATAAAATACATAGATTTCTTTTAATATCATAATAATTCAAACTTCCAGATCCTGGGGGTGCAATGCTCCTAACCCCTGCTCCCCCCCATTCCAACCTTTGTGATATGAAAGGGATAATTGCAGTGAGTTAATGAAATAAATGTGGTGGTATATACCTGAGAAACTCAGGAAGACTGGATGGTAGGTAAATGACGTAAGTAAAACTTGCAATGAGGGACACGATCGTGACAGCCTCTGTATGATACACTTTATTCTTTTGTCTTGGTTGCTGGTTTCATCAGGACAGCTTCCACAAAAAGCCAAAACATTGTATGCCAGATGGATTATATTATGGCTGCTGATTTTTCGACTGAAAATAGATGTTACCTATACCGTAAGCTTAATTCAAGGAGTCTTTGCATCATTTAATGGGATGTCTAACAGAATGGTTTGACAGAATTCTGACAAAACTTATCAGAAAAAAAAATTCTTTACCAGGTTCTAGCCCTTCCCATTTGTGTATTCTGTTTACATGGACAACCTTCTGTAAGGAGATTTGAAAAACACATGTAACATATACAGCTATGTAGTTCATTGTAATTACAGAACTACATATAAAACTAAAGAGAATAGACTGTCAAGGCCTATGCAGACATAGGCCCATCTCTGACGTAGTCTTAGATGCTGCCAGCTCTCCAGTACCCACAAATAAGGATGGACTGATGCCACATTCTTTGGAGGCCTGTCCAGCAATGACTCTGTGAGACAATTCTGGGCCATTCAGATGACAAATTAGGTCTATGGCTGCATTTAGATGCTCCTTTGAAAAAAGAAAATAGTAACACTGATGCTCAGACATTTCAGGACCCAGGTAGCCAAGGGAAGGAAGGTAGCCAAGAGGAGAATGTTCCTGAAAGACTATCACTGAAGAAAATAGTTTGGAATAGGAACAGAAACTAGAAGTTATATACCACTTTAAGTTATATACCAGCAAGTACTTCCTAAAAATTTAAGAGAGGAAGGGCCTGAAAACTGACTTGGTGGCATGATTTCTTTTTTATTTATTTATTTTTTTTTTAGTTTTAAGGCAATTGGGGTTAAGTGACTTGCCCAGGGTCACACAGCTAGTAAGTGTCAAGTGTTTGGTCTGAGGACAGATTTGAACTCAGGTCCTCCTGACTTCAGAGCCGGTGTTCTATCCACCGCGCCACCTAGCTGCCCCCTTTTATTTTTTTATTTAGTTTTCCATAATTTCTTAAAGAAAAAAAAGTGCCTAAAGATTATTATTCATGGGGTTGATTGATCAATCAATAAATGTTAAGGGCTTACTATGTGCCATAGACACTGTGCTAAGTGCTGAGGATACATAAAGAGTGGACAATCCTTGCTGTCAAGGATCTTACTGTCTAAACGGTTAGAGGGAGAGTCACAGAACAAGGCAATACTCCAGGAAGAACTTTTCCTAACTAAATCCATGTTCCAGCCCAGTCACTGCTCTCTGCTAACATCTGCATTTCTGACAATAGACGAAATGATAAAAGAATCACATTCCAGTTATCTTTTCTGGACTAGAATCTTACTAACCTGACTTCCTTAAGCAAGGAAAATGCTATTCCCTCCCTACCCCCAAAAAACACTCTGTGCTCCCTCAACTGCCAATAGTAAGATCCAGGTACCACCTCATTCCCAGTGTTTGTTTACAGCAAATCAGATGCTGGTAATGATCAGAATGTGGAAAAAACAAAACAACATCAGTAACAACAACAACAACAACAACAACAAAAAAAAAAAAACAATGTATGACTGGTGCCTATATATATTTGGAGAAAAATAAATGATAGATGCTGGTAATTTTTTTAAATGAGGAAGAAATCCAGCTTTAACGATATTCAGCAGACAGATTGATACTGATTCCCTCATTCCATATGTATAAAAGACAGACTATATATTAATACAGTGTGTATGTCACACATATCACAGATGCTATCCACAGTATCCTGAAGGAAGAGGGGGGATTCTATAGCAAGGCATTGTTGACTGTTTGCTTTCTAAAAACTACAATGTAGCAATTGTTACATCACAAAATATTAAGCCAAGAGTTTCAGAAAAAATGGAGCACATCTAACCACGTTGCTCTCACTAAATTATATTATTATACATACTATTCTAGCGACAAGCAAGGATTATTTACGCCACTAATAAAGTGAAAATTATTTTAAAATTATTTATTTCTATAATGTATAAAATATGAGGATAGTTGTACATGTATATAATGTATAAATAAATATACATAAATTGAGAAGTGGGCTCAAAACATTTTTATTGATAGTTGTAGTGATCAAAAAAAGTTTGGAAATCACAGCGTAGATGAGAAAACAGACACAAAAGGGTTAAATGCCTTGCCTGAGGTCACACAAAGATCAAAATTTAAAACCAGCTCATCTGAATTCAAGACCAGTGCTGCTCTTCTTCATCATGTCATCCAAACATAAAAATATGATGACGACATATAATAATATCTAGCATTTATATTGGTGGACAGAGTGCCAGGACTGGAGTCAGAAGACTCATCTTCCTGAGTTCAAATCTAGCCTCAGACACTTAACTAGCTGCGTGACCCTGGGCAAGTCACTTAACTGTTTGTCTCGATTTCCTTGCCTATAAAAAGAGCTGGAGAAAGCAAACCACTCCAGTATCTTTGCCAAGAAAACCCCAGATGGGTCACAGAGTCAGAAATGACTGAAGGAGAAGCGTTTATATAGAATTTTAAGGTTTGCAAAGTGCTTTTTACATTATCTCATTTTCTCACACAAACCCTGGTGCTATTAATATTTCCATTTACAGATGAAGAAATGGAGGTAGATAGAGGTTAAAGGACTTGCCATGGTCACACAACTAGCACAGCCATGTAAGGCCGGATTTGAACTGAGTAGTCTAACTGACTCTGATCCAGTGTTCTATTCTCTTAAATGAGAATATTTGTAAAAAACACTTAGCACTAGTGCCTAGCACATAGTAGATGCTATATAAATGCTTATTCCCTTCTTCTATCTCTTCTCACCTAGCTACCTCAAAATCTATTCTCTTATCCATTTGCTCCAGTGATTATTCAGTGATTATCACATATCAATATGTGATTTGGGACTCTTCTGAACTATAATATTTTTCATCAAATCGTCTTCATTTTGTTTATCACCCATTTTACCTCAGTTTTTTTTTGTCTGTTTTTTAAGGCAATTGGGGATTAGGTGACTTGCCTAGGGTCACACAGTTAGTAAGCATCTGAGGCCAGATTTGAACTCAGGTTCTCCTGACTCCAGGACCAGCTCTATCCATTGTACCACCTACTTGCCTCTACTTGGTTTTAAACCTGCATAGTCCTAGTTCTCCTTTCAATGTCACAGAACTATTGTTGCAGATTTTAGCCTAACATATACGCATAACTAGCACAGAGTAACCAGAGTTTTGCCGGGGAGGGGAGACTACTCTCCCTCCAATCCTATTACTTTGGAACACCTTTACAAGTGAAGTGGAGCAGTCAATGTTTTAACAATAGGCTTTTTAAAAAAAAATGTATACAGGACACACTTTGAAGTTTAATTTGCATTATTAACATTTTCTCCATCACTTTCTTAGGTCTAGACCAGGGTAGAGAACCTTTCGGCCTCTAGTCCACATGTGGCCCTCTAGGTCCAAACTTCACAGAACAAATCCTTTTATTAGGGGTTCCCCACCTCTGGTGTAGACAATCTATCACTCAATCAATAACACTCTGATTTGTAGCTTGCTAATTTTCCAGGCTTAAATGCTCACACTAAAAATTAAGCCCTCCCCGAGTGGCATGCCTCCTCAGCCTCCTCCCCCTACTTTTGAAGCAAATGGGTCCAGCTGCCTAGAAATTGCTTGCCTTCTCAGGTAAGGGGGAGGGGAGGGGAGGGAGGGAGAAAGAAAATTTGTAACTCAATATTCTTAAAAATGCATGTTAAAAATTGGTTTTTCTTCATGT